ATATTCCTTAAGAGTGTTTAAGCTTCCAGGATGAGAGCTTCCTCACTGATACTATCAGCTGTACAGGTTCTCATCAAGTTGTCAGATAACTCTCGTAATTTAAAAGGTTGAAAAGCAAGGTTGCAAAAAGTGTATGTGATGTTTTTGGGTAGTAAGAAGGATGGATGAAGTGAAATATAATTTTTATTAGGAAAATAATTGAATTATTTAACTATTATTATTACAACAGGAAACTCAAAATGTTATTTGATTTTATTCACATTTAGGCAACAGGGTGGTCTTTCTTTTTTTGTACACACCTCTCCAGTTATGGTGCAATTCTGATCTGTTGAGGGTTAGGGGTAGTTTGATCAAGTCAAAGTGATCAGAGTTTGGTAAAATTTTTCACGTCATAAACCTTATGTGATGATATTTTTGAGACTGATGATTGAAAAGAACTTTCTTTTCACTGATAAAATCCATAATCATCCTGCCATTTCCCCCAGGTTATGAGAAACATCTCTCTATTGCCAACATTATCTTGCTTTTCTTAATGCAACACAATGACATTGTGTTTCAGTAATTGTTCCCGCCAGTTTTGATTTGTTAGAAAAACTTTTCAACCAAAACCTAAACTTCTGTGAACTTTTACTTTTTGCTGAAATTGCAAATACATTGCACTAGCAGTTTAAGCTCTAAAACACTAAAAGGAAAGTAAGTACTACAAATGTACTCAACTTCTTGAGATAGCAGTGACATGATTAAATTACTTTCCAATTCATCTGTTCTCAACAACAGGCCTCCTGTATCATTCACAATAAAGATCATCTACATCGATCGCACCAACAATTATTAAAGAGTAATGGAATTGAACTCCATTGTACACCACTTTGCGTTTAGGAAATCAATCAATGTGACTTCCTTTTGCACCGCACAACCATATTAAGACTAGGATGCTTCCGTCTAAGTTACAGAGGGAAAAATAACAAGAAAAGTTGTCGGAAGAACTCATTCCACTATTGTTTTCCGACGCATTTTCCTCCTTCACTTCTTTCGCGGGAAACACACAGAAAAGTTACAGCAGTTATCCACTTCAAACAAAAATTCACTGGACATGTTGTTACGTGCACGAATGACCAACAAATGTCCGCTAACAAAGCATAATTATATGAAAATAGACTCCCGAGTACGATATATGGCACGCAACAAAAATTTAACAACAAGCAGTTACCCATTTTAACTATTATTTAATTAGTTTTACACTGTTTAATCTACTTAGGTTAGAGATTAAGTTAAGCAGTTCATAAAGCAGGCTTACAATCCTTCATGCCGTGTAAGTGTTCGTCGTCTTGATCAACTTCCAATTTCAACATCTGCCGACTGAAGACCACAGCGCTTGGCTTTCTTGATTTATCGCATCCTTTCCGTATACACAAACTCTTCCGGAGGACTCCATAGTAAACTCTGTATTCTCTATCTTCTTCCTCTCTCGACTATCGTCTTTTTCATCTCTTTCATCTCTCCGGATATCGCAAGGTCAAAAGGTCATAGCCTTGTCACATCATAGCTTCCAAAAGTTCAGTCAGCTAGCCACGAGGGTAAGCCCTCGGGCAAATCTCCTTTGTACTTCTCACAAGCCAGCTTTTATACATTTACTTTAGTTATCTAGAATGTTCTTTTACTATTTATAGCGTATTACAAGTTGTGCTATTTTTGGAAACTGCTGAGTCACATGAAAGAAGTTTCTGGAATATTACAGATTATAGATAATTCTAGAAAAGTCTGGGATTGCGTGACAGATTCAGTTAAAATAATTCGATCCTCGTAACAATGTGCAGACAAAATGCCTCTCTGGTTGATCTATGTAAAAGCCCAGAAATTGCCCAACTGCTGAATAAGTAGCCTTCGTTCTTGAAGAAAACCAGTCATGCGCCTGTAGCCAGTGTTAGGGAATTCTGTCAAAATGTTTCGCATAATGTTGTCAAGTGCCTGGTCGCTTATATCTGAATACGTTGGCCGTGCCCTCAAGCTTAACTCGGAGAGTCGTCGTTCTGACGTGCGAACGCTAACACCCAGAAGACTTGCAATGTCAACTACACTGAAACAACGTTCCAGCAAGAATTCAACTTGTTCTCTTGATACCAGATATCTCGGGCGACCTCGGTCTCCGAGGGAAATTCTTGGTGGTACAGAACTTTCCGAAGATTGTGGATGATTGACATGATTAGCAATTTGGTCGCGGCTATACCTATCAGGTGCACAACTTCCTCGCCAAGTTCGTGACATTGAAATAGCGAACAATTAAGCCATGTAGCCAATCCAGTCGAAAATACAAAGCATCGATCATATTTGAATCAAGGTCACAAGTCTCAAGATGTCGAATGACATCAAGGAGGATCGATCGGATATTTCTAAAAGCCTGAAGCTCCTCGGCCCGTAAAGAGCTCTGATCCGCCATTTTTGATAAACAGATTGTAATTTGGCGGGAAACCTCCTGCTTCGTTTTCTTGTCTAGTCACCAGTCCCCAAGGGACGATACTTGTCAGCATAAAATAATTTGGTGAAGCAATAAATTTGATGCAGCAAAAAATTTGGTGAAGCGTTGAATTTGATGCAGCATAAAATTTGTTGAAGCATTAAATTTGATGCAGCATTTAATTTGATGCAGCATTAAATTTGATGAAGCATTAAATTTGATGCAGGATAAAATTTGGTGAAGCATTAAATTTGATGCAGCATAAAATTTGGTGAAGCATTAAATTTGATGCAGCATAAAATTTGAGACAGCATTAAATTCAAACAGCAAATTTAGACTTGAATATTGGCGGGAATCACTCACCATACCGAGAGCACTGCCCTCTGCATCTTTCGCAGTACGTGTGTGCTTCTGCCTCCCACCAGCTCGCGCATCATGACATCCAGCTCCCGTGACCACCCCCCGAGGGCATCCATAATGATGTTATATTGCTTCACCTCGTAGCCTGGGAACTGCTGCCTTAGTTCCCAGCGAAGGGGTCCGTACTTCAGTGTCTTCTCTTCATCCTTTCTTGTCCGATTGTTAACCCACGGGCAGCTCATTTCCAGCGTCACAACTCTCTTGCACATATGATTTACAATGCGTGCATCCACCCTATTGCATCTGACCTCTTGTTGATCAACATATATAGGGACATCCCAATAAGCTTTAACATTCTCTGACACATACACGGGCTTCGGCTTGTCGGGTGAGTAGCAGGGTGGTATCTCGTCTATAACTCCCTCATCATACAACAGTTCGTAAAACAGTACCTTCACTGCTGCTTCGTGTCTAGAGAGATACTCTGGGCCAGCGCACTGCATCCTGACAAGATATGAGCCACGCTCTTTGGAGCCTTGCCGCATAATCTGCACCTCACCTCGCCTTCCCCGCTCGTGTGGGGGAAGGCGAGTCGGTCTGAGTTTTTCCCCGCTTATTATTATTATTACTATTATTATTATTATTATTATTATTATTATTATTATTATTATATACGATATCCTCGTGTCCACTATCGGCAGTTGTAGTTATCGTGGCAATATATAGCGCGCCCGCAATCCGCTGCAGCATCAATATCAGCCCTTACTTGAGGAGTATTCTAACAATATGAAAGTGATCACTTTGATACGCACAATGAAGAGGTGTCATATAATATTTTTCCTTAGTTCATCGAACTCGCAGAATCTTATAAAGCAAGTCTTTCATTCATTGATGTTTTCCTTAATGCCTGCTGCCGCAGTGTGACGAATTGGAACACAATTTCTCGAATCTCTAATGTCAAACATGCGCTTGAAAGTTTTGTTAAAGCAGTGCGAGGACACCATGTGTTTTTTTTTTCTGTGAGATCTTTCCCGCAAGACAAAATAAACATGATAACATTATCACTATCATTACCACAGGCCCACATTAACGCCTTAACTGTTTTGCTCTAGTCTGGTATTTTGAACTTCTGAATGCGTAACTCATGGAGGAATCGATTAAGTTACATTATGCTTTTGCGTCTGCAATCACATGAGAAGTAAAATATATTTGAAAGCTTTCTGTTTCGCGACCGCAAGTCCAGCTGGAAGTTTTTTTGACAGCAGAAATAGGGATGTCTGTGTCACTACCTGTCCTGTGGTTCAGACTGAGACGAAAGGAGCTGGTAACGAATTTGTTGTCCTCTTTGTTGCCAAAACACTTCTGCAACCACAAGAGACTGGAATTTTGCTGTTCCACCAGAAAAACAAGATACAACAATGCAAACCGTACTTTAGAATCGATCCTTTAAAGAGATAAGGGAAGTTTTTGTCTGTTGGATCAGACGGAATTGACTCTAAAGACTGCCAAGTGGCCTGTTCCAGCGAGACCGACTGGCAACGTTTGACTCTAATTTAATTTGGACTAGCTCTTCCATTTCATAAAATTTTTATTTCTCCGAATGGCTTCAAGTAGTGGATCTGGAGGGAGATCACCTCAAAAGCTACGGGAAGTAGTTAACTCTAGTAAGGTAAGGCTAAATTTTAAAGGGTTAACCATGGTTAGTTGACTTAAAACAATGCAGTCAAATAAATTTTCAACTTGTTGATATATCATTCAATTTCTGAAAACAGAAGGAAAATAAATAAATAAAACACTTTTTCTACTCACAAAACCAAGTAAATACGTGGTGAGGTTTCTTGTGAACTATTCATTATTATTTTTTTTCCTATGTAAGACCGTAACAGGTATCTCAGTTACAGAACTTGTACATATTTGATATTATAATTTCAGAGAAGGAGCCTTATATATTACGATTTATACTTTAGATCTTTCGAGGTGTTTCTTGTTCGTACAAAAATACTGAAGTTCCAGTTACAAAATTAGAGTACTTGTATTCAAATTGTCAATCTTTGTTCATATGTGATGGAAGATATCAATTTGTTTGCTCAATTAATGAACAGGTGGTAATCCCTTTTAAAGCTCCTAAACAAATTCTCCCGGCTGCTAATATATAGCTACCACTGTTCTTAACCCTGTACACCCTTAGATCAGCAGCCATATTCTCCATAATCTTCTCTATACATTTCCTTTGGTACTGATGGGGAGAATTGGTTTGTCAATCAGAGCTTCCTTGGTTGGTGATCGCTTCTTTAACTCTCAATTGATCTTAATGAATGTTTCAGCAATTTTTACTGAAAAGAGAAATTAGATGCTGGTCAAAACTCTTAGAGTTTAAAGGTTTTTAAACCTTAAACTTTACCGATAAACTCTCAAAGGAGTTTATCGGTAAAGTTCTTCTTTTTTATATTCTTTAAAAAATACTGACAATACCAGATGTTGATTAGAAATGCACACTTGCAAATCCTTTTTCAATGTAAACTAATAAAAGAAAACCTAATCATTCTAAACAACATATGGCAATCTGCGGTCTTTCCTTACACTTAGGTTGCACAGAAAGCCGTAAAAATCTTGAACAAAAGCTCATCTTTCAAACCGGCAGTTTAAATCCCACAGGGATCAACAAACGCTTTTCATTCTACTAATTTATTCATGTTTTTCTCGTTGCCATGTTCCCACCAATAATGTAGCTCCATTTTCTGCCTTTAAAAGCACACACAACTCACAATTCCTCTATTCGCTCCGACGAAGGGCTAACGCTCGAAACATCAGCTTTTGTAATCGTTACGGTGGCCAATTTACCATTTCAACTTTGTTGATATATCCAAATAATAAAACAAAAGTTGTGTGTGTGAGCCTTTCACACAAGGATCTACTTGGATGGGAAATGATACTTGCATGTACTTGTCACCCTCTAATTGTCTGCTGTTTTGTTTGTTTTGAAGTTTGACGGTGTGGAATTTCCTGAAGAAATGAAAGCAAATCTAGAAAAGCTAAGAGCACTGTCAAAAGATGATTTATCAGAAAATGGACTACTGCGAGGCCGCGTCGATCAGCAGTGTGAACTGATATGCATTCTAAAACAGCGTGCAGACGAATCTCTGAAAAAGTCCACAACTCTGGAGGAAGAAAACAGTGAGCTTAAAAAACACAGAGACGAAATATTGACTGCATTGCACAATGAAACAAGGAAATTTTCTGTAATGGAGAAAAGATTCTTTGCGCTTAATAAGAATCATGAAGAACTTATAAAAATAAAGGATGAATATAAAACAGAGAATGACAAGTTACGGATGGAAAACAGTACTTTGAAGAGGGAAAATGAAGGTCTCTTTGGAAGCCTTGTACAAGAGCGAGATGCACAAATAAGGCAACTTAGAGATGAGTTGAAAAGTCTCTATGATGAATATGAAGCTGCAAAGGGAAAAGAAAGGTTGGATGAAACAATAAACAGATAAATAATTGATCTTTTCTGGAACCTCAATTAATTCATTAACCTGAATTGTATCCTGCTGCATTTGCAAGAACCCAATTATTTATTCTCAGAGCTTTTATGATGTAACACCTGGCTAACATTGTTTATCTATAATTTTTACAGGTAATTATTATGATTTCAGCCTATGGATGTTATTTGCTAAGAAGCTTTTTTCTGTCTCTTAAGGGTAGCATTGGGGAATCTGTCTGCTATGGAAAAGAAGCATGGTGAGCAGACTGAAAAACTTCAAAAAGAAATCACAGTGTTGCAGAGAGAAGCAGAAGGTTTGTTCGGGGAAATTCATTCTACTTTGGGACTACTATTACCAGGATCACTTGCTCAAAATACGGCAATTGTTTTACAAGAAACAAGCAATGAATCCTATCCAAATTCTCTGTTATCTTCTTTTGCTGTAGTCTGGAGCACCGATTGGAAAAATTAAGTTGGAATCATTACTCACTCCCTAAGGAGTGATCGATTGATATTATATTTTAAGCAATCTCAGTAACAGTGGTGATACTGCAATTTTCATTTTTCAGCGAGGAAACAAGTTGTTTTAGTTTTTATCGCATGGTGAAAACAGATTTCTTATGTTCCTTGTTTTTAACCTTTATATTCTTCAGAGCAGCATAGGAAGTCAGAAGAAAAGTTAAAAATGTCCTTAATAGAGAAAGATGAAACTCAAGCAAAGGCATTGGGACTGGCCAAAGATAGAGATGAGTTTGCAAAACTGGCTTTGGAAAGAGGGAAGGCTTTAGAAGTAAGGAGTCATTATTTGTAAATTCATATAAAGAGGGGTAGTTTGTATGCCCGCTTTTGGCTCCATCAAGCCCCAGGGGGCTAATAAAGTCTTGGACATGGGAGGAGGGATCCTAACAAGCCCCTTGGAGGTGTATTTTTTTTGAGGGCTTGCAGGCACATGGTTTTCTTATGCCTTTTTCCATAAGCGGCTGCTCATGGTACATTATAGTTGGCTGTACAGTCAGGCAAAACCCAAACACAAGAGCCTCAGTGCTCGTAGGCCAAACAGATGGGGGTGATATCAGGTAATATTAGTGGTGGTAAACCATTGGTAATGGCTTTTATTAAAGCTCCTGCAGAAAGGGGGATTGATAGAGAGAGGGGAGGCTTATTTAAAGCTCAATGAGAGCCTGAATACCACAGCAAAGCATTGTATTTTGTCCTGTGTAGAGAATTTACAGAGGATAGGGATTGGTCACATTGTCAGGACATTTACAGTAAGCAGCATTTGACGTATCAGTCCATTGAGATACTTATACAGTCTGATTTAATTTTCAGCTTCATGGCAAATACACTGTGTGCATGCAGGATATCAAACAACTTGTATCATCCTTTTTTTTCGTAATTATTATTTTTACCACTCAGGAAAAACAAAGAGAAATTAAAGAGCTTTGTCAGAAGCTAGAAGAGACGGAAAGATCATTGAAAGAGACTGAAGATAAGTTTGTGTAAGTGTCTAGTTAAATTTATATGACAGTCTTTCCATTAATTTTACCTTAGCTTTTATAAAATAGGATTTATCATTGAGTTTTATTAATGGCCAAAACTGTTTTTGACACACTACAGGTCTGAACTACGCAGCATGTCAGTGAACGCACAAGTTCTAAGACTCAAAAAACAGCTTGAAGACTCTGAAAGAAGACAAAGGGAAAGTGCAAAGGTAAATTATTTCAATTCGACACTCTGTGCCAGCTAGGATTCGAATTTATGAACTTAACTTAGTGGTACACTTGGAAGCTTTCTTTGTTCCTTTCCTCTGTCCTAGAATAGCCAAAACGCCGAATTCATTCCCTTTTAGACACCTAAGGCCATCGTTTCTTAAAATACTCGATCAGAGTTTATTGCGTAAACACTCGCTTGTTTAAAAGCAACGTAAATCGAGTTATGCTTTTGAGAAGTTTTTAGCATACATTGCGGACCATTCGCATCGAGTTAACGCGAGTAACGAGTGCATTAAGCGCGAGTGGTCGTTGTGCGCGCGTGTGATGTGCGTGTAGCTCTCGTGCAAGTACAGAGCAAGTGAATCAGTTTGTTAAAAGTGACAAGCGAGAGTGAGAAAATGGTACAAATTAATCATTTATCTTGTGTGAAGTAAGTATCCGCGATGATGCAGCAACAGCAGCGATTTGTGACTGTAACTGGCCACACCTCTTTTTTGACAGGAGCACGATGCATACAAACGACATATGTCCACCTTGTTGGGAAAGGAGAAAGAACTGAATAACAAGCTCAGAGTTCTGATTGGCTAGAATGCTTCGGATCCAGTCTGCACAACGTTTGTGGGCTCGGCACGACTGATGAACAATAGTCACCAACACGTATTTATAGCACAGAAGAACTTTAATAAATTCAGGCGTATATTTTAAACCTTTAATTCGGGGGGGGGGTAACAAATTAAGTATAGACATGACTGTGTATTACTATGAGTAGTGTGTCTCTATTTGCTGGATTCAGCTCGTAGCTGTCGTCCCGAAGGTTTCCTTGCTTGCAGGAAAGTGTAAGGCTGGAAGGGTCTACAAATTCGTGCCAGACACCCGACAAAAGACGTCTTCCCGACTTGTCTCAAACCTTCCCGTGGGCAGAGAAACGTACATCCTGATGATAATAACGTGCGCCTGCTCTCAGGCTATGAGGGCAGCGAGTGGAAACTGTCGTAAGACTTCTGTTAATCTTTGGTCTCAACTTTCATTAGTTTTCTCACATTTTTGATATATTAAATTAAAGTTCTGCACTTTGTGATTTTCTCTTGTAAAGAATGATATTGTCTCGTTCTTCTGTCTGTGTTTCAAATGGTTTAATTGATATACAGCCCGTTAATAGGCGACTAGTTGTCAACTGGGGCTACCATCAAATTGTTCTGTCCGATTTGAGACGCTCCCCCCTCAATTTCGGACTCCTCCGTCCGATTCCAGACACTTGTCTTCTCCCACTTTTGTGAGACCCTATCGTCGCACCTCGGAGACTTTCGTCTGACTTCCGGGACACCATCGTCTGCTTTCGGACGCTTACATCTGATTTCTAACAAGCATTGGATCTCGAATGCATTGGATATCGTTCGATTTCAGACACTTCTGTCCGCTCTCAGTCACAATGCACAAGAGTTTAAAATCGCACACCAACATCTAAAATCGGACGCCAGTGTCCAAAATCGGACGCTAGCGTCCGAGATCGAACACTTGTGTCCGCAGTCAAATTCTCGTGTCCAAAGTAGGAAGTTTGTGTCTAAAATCGATTTCACAAGGTATTGTTCGAAGCGCCATTGGTTGCCAAGTGAAATCCTGGGAATTTGGAATTTCCCAAACAATTATCAAGGCTAGACTCCGTCGGGAGACTGGTGCACACGGAAGCTGTCAAATGTCACGTGACTTAAAGGAGTTCCTTACAGCCATTTTGAATCTCGTCGCGTAAATTTAGTGTTTCCGGAAAGAAGCATTCGCATACACCTCGGATTTGTTTATCCAAAATGATTCTCCTAGAGATCAACAATAGGATTATAGAGGACACTCTGAGAGCCAAGTTCATGGGGTAAGGCCGTTGTAAAATGGTTTGTTCTTTACTTCTGAATTTTGTTTTCGTTTGGGAGGTGTGTGATCGATTCCGGCTTCAAACATCTTTGCTAAAGAATTGTAATATTTCTTTTACAGTGGGAAGTTTGAGTCTGTGGATATAACGGTGGCAGGTTTGTTGTCTCTAATGTATCATTCTGTTTGTTCAAAGGGCCTAGGGTTTATATGATGTAGAAGAAAAACTGCAGGTACTGGCCATATAAGAGTTGCATACTTCTGGACCGAAAGCATACTGAAATACCATGTCTAAGTGAATTTAACTTTCCAAATCTATTCTCTTAAGTTTCTAGAGACCTCTGAAGACCTCTAAAAAGTTCTGAGCGTTGTGAATTGGTGGAGTTTGTTTACAGTGAAGTCGTGTTACGGAACCCTTGAAATAGAAATTCTGTCTGCTTGATAATTTCCTGGGAAAGTAGTATAAACAAGCGGGCTGTTCACTATGAAATTTAGTTACAGAAAAAAAAAAAGCTATGAGAAACACAGTATCCTCTACGTAAAATAAAGCTCAGGCCTCAGAAATTTAGTTCGAGAATTCTGTAGAATAGCCAGAGAACTCTCCAGTCTTCAATGTTTACTGAACAACCCCTGTTATGCTTTGAAGTCAGTTGAAGGGTAATTCTTTTCTTTTATTACACGACTCGGGCAGTCAGAGGGCCAATAACTAAAATCAACCAATCAAAATGCTCAATTGCTGGTCAATATTCTGTCAGTATTGGACCAGGCACTGTCCCAAATGGTCCCAAATGATAGCGCACTTGTGTCCCTTTAAACTTCAGTCGTATCATAAATCTCTTATTAACCAAGCTTTCTCGGGACCGTACTCGACCCTCGGTCTTTTTTGTGCAGACTTCGCTGTGCTCAGTCCGTACTGTCAAGACCTTGGGCTGATTTTCTCCCAGTGCAGCCCTCATGCTTGGTTAATAAGATATATGTATGACATGGTAGATTCAAAGTCCTTGTAATTTTAAATTATTTGACAAATTTGACATTTTTTCAGATTTTGATGGAGTGCAGTTTCATATTTCTAACCCAGATGGTGAAAAATCAAAGCTTAGGGTAGGTATTAGAAAATTATCTCTTTTTAATCTTTGAGTTCCTCTTTTCACTTTTGGCATTCATAATGGGAGTCTTTTGTCCCTACAGCTCAGCATTTCTATGAAATTCTACTCTGATTTACAGAAGTACGGAGCTGATGAGGTATGGTTAGTCTGAATTTCCTGTAATAATGATTAGCAACATTTTGCATGGTTGATTATTTATATGGTATAAACAGGATTACAGAAATGATTAAAGTGCACTAAAGAGTTGAAGGTAGATGTGCTGTTTTATTTGTTTTTACTACTATAGCTGCTTAAAAAAGTATATGGAAGCTTCATGACAACTCCTGAAGAGGGTAAGTTGCTATTGCACACATGCTTTACTCAATTATATACAGCCATCAAATATGCAGCACTGTTCAATAAGCAGTGCTAGTTATAATGAAAATATTTACAGTCTATTTAGAACAAGTGAATAAAGGCTGATAGTTTCTAAAGAAACTGTTTGGGGCTGCGTTGGTGGGGGTAACGAAATAATTTGAATATATCAACAAAGTTGAAATGGTAAATTGGCCACTGTTATGATTATAAAAGCTGACGTTTCAAGCGTTAGCCCTTCATCATTCGCTCCGACGAAGGGCTAGCACTCGAAATGTTAGCTTTTATAACTGTAGCAGTTATAAAAGACGAACAGTTCTGTACACAATAGGTCTACTAGACATGGCAATTTAAATTTAGTGTGTCCCAAATACCTAAGAAATAACAATGGTGGCAAGGCATTCAGTGTTGACGCAGTTAAGTTATGGAACAGCCTTCCCCATGATATCAAAAATAAGCCTAGTATAAAATGATTCAAAACAGCTGTGAAAAAGCATTTTATGAGCTCATATAAAAACCTGGACAACTTTGAAACAATATTAAGCAATAGCACATTATCCAATTTTTATTTTTTATAAATTAATTTTATCTTTCTGAATATTTTTAATATATCATGCTATTTCTATCATAGAGTTTTGTAATTATTTATATATTTATTTATTTATCAGTTTTTTGCAATGCTGTGTAATCTAGTTAGAGGGCCACAGGTTTGTCAGCTTTTCAGCTGTTACGTGTCCCCCTCTATAAATGAAGTCCTCACTTACTTACTTACTTACAGTGGCCAATTTACCATTTCAACTTTGATGATATATTCAAATTATTTAGAACAAGGGCTGCATGTAACAATGCAGTCTATCAAATATGTAACTAAAATACCAGTAGGGTTCAACTGTGTTCCAAACAGTCTCAAAACTCGTCACGTAAAAATGACTATCACTCCCAACTCTCCATCTTATCTCTTGAACTCAGATCACTACGGCTATTAAACTTTGCATACATTGTGTACACTGCAGTATTAGCTTATCTTTCCTGTTGATAGTAGACAGTGAATGATATTTGGAATGTGGATCTGTTTTTGTTTTGATATTTCCTTGTTATTATTTTTCAAGAAATAATTTAAGGATTTTTAATAAGCCCCCTCTCTCCAAACCAGCAAGTCCCCCCTTAAATAAGCTTAGCAATTAAGTCATAAAAAATCAATGGATGAATGTTTTAGTGCTTAATTAAATCAATGAAGTTGCCATTCCCTTGTCTACAGTACCTCAATGTGTAGAATATATATTGTTTGTTTTCACCTAAAGGTATTTATTTCTTTCATAGCCTATGATGTTTCCCTGTTAGTTGACTTAGAGCAACTGCCATCTGATGAAAAGGAAAAAGGTGATTATCCCCAGGGTTCAACACGTGGCTACTGGCATTACTAGCCACCGGCCCAGTGATTTCTAGAATTTCCTAGCCCAAAACACAACTCGGTAGCCCAGATCAATTTCCCTCGAGGTCTACTTCAACCCCAAACACACAAACTTCCTCTAAACTTATTGGCAAGGTCTTAAAATGATAAAGAATAGTACAAACGCTTCAAGTGTGAGGCGATGTGTAAGGCATCGCAACACTGGTAAGCGCAGAGTCTGGGAACTAGCAACATTTATGACTGACACGCAAGACAAAAAAAGGTGCCAGTAGATGAAAGGCTTATGCCTTCTTTATTGGTATTATCATTAAAATTTGAACTTTGTTTTTTTAATCAACTGTGAACTTCAAGTAAACTAATTATATATAATTTCTTTCAATTTTTCTACTAGCCAGCAGGCTATTAAACATGCTTTTTTACTAGCCCGACCAAATTTTTACTAGCCTTGGGCTAGCAGAGATGTTGAACCCTGTATCTCTAAGTTCGTGTTTGAAGAGCATTGTGTATACTGTTAGAATCAGCAGTGTTCACTGCTTGTATTATTTGTTAATTATTTTCCTGTAACTATGAATTATTTCTGTCTTCTTCCAGAGGAACTTATCCAGAAATTTGCTCTGTTGAAAAGAAACTGTTTTGCTTCAGTTTTTGAGAAATATTTTGACTATCAACAAGCTGGCTCTGGTGGGAAAACTCATGCAGTCATAAATTACAGAGAAGATGAGTCCATGTGAGTAAAAGAATACTTTTATCATGTTTTCCTTTTTTCCTCTTTTGCAATAGCAGTACAGTCACTGAAACATGGAACATTCATTTCAAGTTTGTTTTTAACCTCTTTCTTCCCAATTAAAATTAAAAGATTTGAAATTCTCTGTTCTGGCTGTGATACATTTCTTAGTTAGTGATGATGGACTCTTGAGTCTTATAGGGAAGTCAATGCATGAGCATTTGATATGAGGGTTATAACATTAAGTTCTTTGGTGAGAGAGAAAGTGTTTTCTTATGGGGCAGATCCTGCTAATATGGAAGGAGTTAAGCATAGTTTTGCTTCTGAAGTTGAACTTCCTTCAAGCAGTTCTGTCTTTGATTGCTTTAACTCCCAAGATCGGATGGTTAACTCTCCCTCTAGCTGCTACACATTTCCTTGTAAAATAGTTCTGAGAATTTTAGTGTTTTGGCGCGACAATACCCCCTAGTTGATGGGTCTGTCTATACTGGTCACCTGCTAACAGAGATTGTGAGGAGAAATGATCTATTATCACTCTGCAGGTATGTCCAAGCAACAGATGATCGTGTAACTGTTGTCTTCAGTACTGTGTTTAAAGATGATGATGATGTGATCATTGGCAAGGTCTTCATGCAGGTAAAGTTTAGGCTTGCACCTTCTCTTATTGTTTTTTGGGGGGACAAGGGAAAAAACTGTATACAGAAGCAAAAATACCCCCATCTTTCATTCCTCCCCCCTCCCCCATTCCCCCTAAGAAGAGAATAAGTGTTATAATTAACAATTATTTTCCAAAGGCGAGGTGAATATCGTCGAATAATCCCTGAGACGAAGTCGAGGAGATTATTTGACAATATTCACAAAAAATGAGGCGAATAATTGTTTTAGTATAGTTGCAGAGCTGAGCAACAGAGAAATTTCAAAAATCATAACATTTTAGTAACATTTATTATCATTTTATATAAACCGCGTGGAGCGGTTTATATAGCGTCATGCAAGGAACTGCTCGACCAATCAGATTGCTGGAAACTCTTTGCTCAGTTCTGAAATTATAGTAATTAACAATTATTCGCGGAAGGCGAGGTGAATATTGTCGAAAAATCCCCGAGACGAAGTCAAGGGGATTATTCGACAATATTCACCGAACCTGAGGCAAATAATGTTTTAGTATAATTTCCGAGCAGAACAACAGAGAAATTTCTATCATAACATTTTAGTAACATTTATTCACATTTTACATAAACCGCGTGGAGCGGTTTATATAGCGTCACATAAGGAACCGCTTGACCAATCAGATTGCTGGAAACTCTTTGCTCAGCTCTGAAATTATACTAATTATAGATATAAATGATTTTTAGCACAAACTAGCTGC